CCGAGGGGGCTGCCAGACAGGGAAGGGTGGTGGAGCTACGTGCAACTACCGGACCGGAGGAGGGATCTGCAAGTGCGACGGCAGCAGGGGCGGCAAGCGGCGTAAGGGAAGTGTGGTCGCGGAAGAAGCAGGTAGAGGCACGAGAGCCAAGCGTGAAGGAGAGCAAAGCGCTAGCGGCAGCTGGCAGAGGGGCTAGTGTGGAGCCTAGGCTAAACAAGGCAAATGGTCCTAGGCCTAACGCAGTAGGGGAGCCTAGACTACACACAGTGGACACACCTACGCTAGGCAATACCGCATAATAGGGTCCAATCACACTAGAGTCATCAACATACATGACACACATAGCATTCCTAATCTGATCCATGTCAAGGTCAAAGACTGGCACACGACGGCGAGCCAGGGCGTACCAGTCCGGAGGGTCCGATGCCATGCCGAAGGGGTGGCGGAACAGCTCGTTCAGGTAGCGGTACCAGCGGTCGGCGGTGTGGCCGTGCCGGAGGCAGACAGTGCCGCAGCGAGGGCTAGTCTGAAGCTGGTAGTGGCAGGTGACCGAGCTGGAGCTGACACCTGACACCGACCTGTGCCCGCCCCCCCCACGACAACCGCCGCTAGCGCCGCCAGTCCACCACGGCGGCGGGGGTCCCCACGGCGACTGCTGCTGCTGCGACATTTGCGGCAGCGGCTGCGGCTGCCGAGTCTACTGCTGCTGCTGCTGAGGCTACGTCTATTATTGCGGCTGCTCCGGGTCACCAGCCCTGGTCCCCTCATCTGAACCACTGTCCTCGCACTCACCGCCGCCACCCTCCCCACTGCCACCCCCCTTCCCCCTACCACGCCCTCCCTTGGTGTGGCGACCCTTACCCAGATGCCTCTGCGTTGAGGCCGCAGCAGCGGTCTCAGCAACGGCAACAGAGGTGTTAGAGTAGGTGCACTGGAAGGGAGCACAACCCTGAAAGATAGGTATCGCCGCAGTACCGCTAGACCAAGGGATACTGCGCTGGCGGGTCTCTATCGCAGTCAAGGCAGTGACAAAGGCGGTGAGAGTGAGGTCACCCGGGTGCTAACTAAGGAAGCGCTCGCAAGCTGTGGCTAGGCAGTCAGGAAGGCGCATGGCGATGAGATAAAGGGTAGCGCATAACGGTGGTGGAAAGGCAGTGACCTGTGCCTCAGTGCTAGCAGCGTGGTAGCTCATCTCAAGCGCGCGGAGGTGAGTGGCAAAGTCGGCGATAGTGGGGAAGGACGCAAGATTAGGGAACAGCATGGGAAGGATCACGCGACCAGCAGAGGCAGTGGTGGGGGTGGAATAGCGCACAATGACATGATCTAAGAAGGCCTGGGCGTTCGCTATAGTGGTAAAGCGAGGACGCTCAGACAGCAGGAGCGCACGGCTGATAGCAAGCTGGGCGACAGCGTCGCGCGAGTCCCAGATGGCATGATCAAGCGCAGAAGCGGAAAATGCCTCATGCTCAGCAGTGGTGAAGGCATCAGGGAGGGCATCAGTGACCGTCGTGGCACTGACCTGTAAGGTGATGCCGAAGGTCGACGAGCCACGCCTCAAAGTCGAGCGCCCGACCCTCTGCGTCCAACCGGAGCTATGACTCCGACATCACCACTGTTGCAGCTGCAGACGGCCGCTGACAGGGCGAGGAGGACAGGTGGAGGGAGCAGTGGAGAGAGGTGGAGTGTGGTGAAGAGCAGTAGAGTGCGATGCAATGTGGAGGAGAGCGGTGGAGAGCGGTGGAGAGCGGTGGAGAGCGGTGGAGTGCGGTGTAGTGCGGTGGAGTGCGATGTAGTGCGGTGGAGTGCGGTGGAGTGCGGTGGAGAGTTGTGGAGAGCAGTGAAGAGCGGTGGAGGCAGCCGGCAGGGGAGCCGGCGCTGAAGGGAGCCAGAGCCGGTGGGTCGGCGCTCGGACTCAGCGGTCCGGCGGCTGGCCGCTGAAGTAGGGACCGGCGAGGCAAGAGCCGGCTGGCTGGGCGGCGGGCTGGCCAACCGGCTGGCAAGGGCCGACGAGTGCATAGGGCCGACTGGGCGCGGGCGGGGCCGGTAGGGCGCCAACGGGGCTGGCTGGGGCGCTAACTGGCCGGCGGGGCGAGTAGGGCCAGAGAGGCGCAAAGGACCGACGGGGCGCTAACGAGGCCGGTATGGCGCGAACGGGCCGGCGGGGCGCTAACGGGCAGATGGGGCGAGCGGGGCCAGAGGAGCGCACGGGAGCAAAGGGGCGCTAACAGGGCCGGGAGGGGGCGAAAGGGCTGGCGGGGCGCTAACGGGCCGCTTTAGCCTTGGTGCAGGCGCCATGTCGTGGAGGTCCACCCGCTCGTCGTCTGTTGCACAGTCTAGTTGTGAGGCTGAGATCTACGTCTGTGAGAGTATGACCCCGTTACACCAATTTCCCTTTCCATCTCTCCTTTCTATTTCATTCCTCTTTTGGTTTCCTAATTCTCCTATTCCATTATCCTTTGGTTTATCCTGATATTATGATTATATCACCGACCAGACTCGGGATGTACTGGCACGTTATATCTAGCGCAAGCCAGCCGTAATCCCTTAAAGCCAATAGCCTCGCGTGGCTATACGCAGGGTGATTCTATTTCTAGAAGGGTCTATTCCCTTCGGATTGGATAAACCTGATTACCTGATGTACTTTGGAAGTATAAAAGCGCCTTGTATCAATCGATAGTGCAAATTTTCCTCAATACATTCGATCATATGACACTTCGTATCAGAGCTTTTCTCACTCAGCCACGCTCAGCTAAGCAGGAGCAGCGGGAAAACCTGCTTCGAAAAACCGCCGGGGGCAACTAATTCGGCGCGGATTTTGGTAAGCACCAGCTCCGCATTTTTTGAATTCACCCCTCCGTGCGTGTTTTGAACAGGATGGCAAACTTCGACAACGTCGAGGTTACCCAGCAGCTCTTCGCGAGCATCGCCGTCCTTCAAGAGGAGATGCGAGCCGATCGCGAAGCTTGGCGAAACGAGTTCGAGCGAGTAACTCGACTCGCCGGCGTGCAGCACGACATGACAACGGCGACGACGCAGCAGTCGCAACAGTTTCTCGAGGCTCCGAAACCGCGCCCACCTGAGCCGTTCGAGCCAAGCGATCGAAATTCCGATGCCCGCAGATGGATCGCCAGCATGGAGATCTACTTCGCAGCCGTCGGATGGAGCTCGCCAGTCTGGGATGGTCAACGCGTACGACTCGCGGCGACACTGATGCGAGGACCGGCACTCGAGTGGATCGGCGGTAAGAGCACCTTCATCCATGGCGAAGCCACGTGGCAGCAGTTCCGCACCGACCTGCTGAAACGCTTCGAGCCGATAAATTCAGGTTTCCTTGCCCGGCAAAAAATTCATCGCCATCGACAGTTCGGGAGTGCAACGCGATACACGCAACAGATGGAGGAATTGTATAACCGCATTCCCGACCTGACCGAAGGGGAAAACGTACAGTCGTATCTCGCAAGGCTGAAGACCAAAGTCAAACGACAGGTAGCAGCGACAAACTACGCGAGCTACAGTCGTTCCGGCAGCAGAGCGGTTCGACATGGTCAACGCCGGAACACGACGGCCGCATGTCGGCACTATGTGACAGGGCGACTGCTCGGCTCACACCACGTTCGCCGACCCGATGGAAATCGACAGGTTCGACAGGCGGCCACGTCCGAAAAACACCAACTACACGTGTCATTTTTGCTGGGTGTCGGGCCATCGAATCTTCGACTCAAACAAAATGAAAGCCGCACGCGCAGAGTATCAGGCACGCAACAGTGGTGGAAATTCTTTGGCCAATCAGAAGACAAAGAATGGAATTCGCCAGTAATTGCGGATCTAGCTGGCGAAAAAAAATGAGATCCGAAAGCTGCCGCGGGATTCCGGGAAAATCGACTTCAACGAAGCTGATTCGACGCGAGCAGGAGGAAATGATGGGGAAAAATCTCCACCCCACGACCAGTCTTTGCCAGAGGAAATCGCCGAGGATAAATCTAACTCCGCGAAAAAGGACTCTGCCAAGACGGGGAAACTCCTTGAAGACCCAAGAAATTAAAAGGATTCGTTAAATTTATCTTACAAAGATGCTTTAATGAAAACTTGTAATTCTCGAGGGGCTAGAGCCTTGGAGAAATTTCGGGAGGGACTCCAGAAGAAGCATAAACTTGTGGAGATCGTACCGGTACCGGAGAACTTGGGGACCAAATTAAGGAGTGTGGAAAAAAGCCGACCTTTCCACGGAGTCAACGTCCTCTCCCGACAACAGCCCACAACGACTACCCGTTCCCCAGGGAAGACGTCGGTGGAGCTGACGCAGCTCAAGAGGAAGCTGGGGGTCTACAAGAAGCTGCAAACACCCCGAAATCCTCCTCCGGGTGCATCGAGCTCAGCAAATTCGGCATCAACGACACACACAGTCATCAAGAAAGCTCAGGGTCTTGAGGGAGAGACTTTCTCCAAGCAGCCTCGGCCAGCTGCTAACCCACGAGCAGATAGCAAGAAAAAGGTGTGTATGGAATATTGGGATGTACCCTATGATCCTGTTAACGAAACTATCTTTGGGTACTCCGAGCAACGCCCGCCCCTCGTGCTCGAGGTCATCAGCAAAGGACAACGCCTCCAAGCACTCCTGGACAGCGGAGCATCGCACACCGTCTGCGACAAGGCAGTAATCGACCGACTTTGGGAAGAGCACAAGCCTTCAGCATTCTCTGCAACGATAGCGGATGGCAACAAGTTACCAGTACACGGCGAAGCAGTGTTACACCTACAAATCGGACCACTGCGCTGGAATCCTGCACTCCCCATCACCAACATAAAAGGGCTTGACTTGATCTTCGAGCGAGACTTCCTAAAACGATTCAACCCCGAGATCAACTGGCTAAATCGTACAGCACGCATCTACAACAGTGGGAGGAGAGTCCAACTACCCAACTGGGACGATGCAGGAGATATCCCAGTGGAGACACTCGTAAGATTTGACAAGGACGTAAAATGAACTGACACCGGATTCCTGGCGATAGCAATGGATGTGGAAAATGACGAAGAGAAAACTTCGGAACCTCCACAAAAAATCAAGGAATTACTGAAGGAGTTCCAAGACATTCTTCCCGACAACCTTCCGAACGAGCTGTCGCCATACCAAACACACCAGCCCGAGATCGTGGAAGAACCAGGTTCGAAGCTGACCTTCCGAGCACCATATCGGCTCAGCCCCACAGAGCTAGCCGACATGAAGAAGCAGATTGAGTATCTCCTCGCAAAAGGACTCATCCGACCATCCACTTCGCCATACGGTGCCCCAGTACTCTTCACACCGAAATTGGACGGAAGCCTGCGCATGTGCATCGATTACTGAGCTCTCAACAAGCAGGCCATCAAGAACAAATACCCAATCCCACGAATCGATGACTTGCTTGACCAGCTTCGGGGAGCCACGGTATTTTCCAAACTAGATCTGCGGTCCGGATACTGGCTGATACGAATGGCGGACAATTCCATCCACAAAATTGCCTTTCGAACTCGATACGGGTCGTAAGAGTATCTCGTAATGCCGTTCGGACTCACCAACGCACCAGCAACGTTCCAAGCTGAAATGAACCATATTCTATGCCCACTCTTGGAGGAAGGCGTAGTGGTAGACCTGGATGACATCCTCATCTATTCGCGCGACATGCACCAACACGTCCAACACCTACGACGCGTCTTCGACATTCTCCGACGAGAACGATTCTACGTCAAGTTATCCAAGAGAGAATTCGCCCTCGAGAAAGTCCAATTCCTAGGACACATGGTGAGGGCTCAAGGAGTTCACGTCGACCCCAAGAAGATCAAAGCCGTACGCACGTGGAAGACACCCGAGAACGTGACTGAGTTGCAGTAGTTCCCAGGCTTCGCGAACTATTACAATAGGTTCGTGCCACAGTACGCAAAAACTGCAACGCCACTCACGAATCTGCTGAAGAAGAACACGCCCTATAAGTGGGAACCACACCATCAGGAAGCCATGGAGCAGCTGAAACAAGCACTCACGTCCGCACTCGTACTCATGTTGCCAGACCCCAAACGCGACTACGTCATCGAAGCTGACGCTAGCGACCAGGCAGTGGGAGCAGTCTTGATGCAAGACTAGGGGAATGGACTGCAACCAATCGCCTACCTCAGCAAGAAACTACACGGGGCTGAACTAAACTACCCGGTATACGACAAGGAGGCCCTTGCTATTATCATCACCTTCAAAACGTGAAGATGTTATCTCGAAGGACGACAAACAATCGTCTACACCGACCACTGCAGCGTAAAATATTTGAAGACACAACCAAACCTCTCCAGGCGGTAGGTCTGGTGGATTGACTTTCCGTGACGCACTTCCACTATGACATCGTGTACAAGCCCGGCCACAAAAACAAAGCAGACGCTCTTAGTCGGCCTGCACACGTTGCCGCAATCCAGGTCGAAGGGATGAACCCACTTCTCAAGGGACTCTGCACACACGGGTACGCCATCGACCCCGAAATTCCTTTGGCAGCAAAACGACACCTGCTACAGTAGGACAGTCACATCGCATACTGGAAGGGATCAACAAAAATCTGGGTACCCAATTACCCTCCTTTGCGCCAGTTACTACTCGAAGAATACCATGATGTCCTATATTCGGGACACTTCGGTAGCAACAAAACGCTCACCTGTATTGCAAAGCACTACTAGTGGACCCACATGACAGCCGACGTCCAACAATTTGTCACCTCATGTGCAACATGTCAGCACATGAAGAGCAGCAAGCATAAAAAAAGCAGGACTGCTACAGCCTCTTCCTGTCCCAGAACAACCATGGCAAGTGGTTAGCCTGGATTTCATAACCGGGTTACCAACTACCACAAGCGGTCATGACGCAATCCTCGTCGTCATCGTCAAATTCTCCAAAATGGGACACTTCATCCCGACACACACGACAGCACGCACCGAAGAAACAGCACAACTATTCGTTCGCTACTGCATCTCTCAACATGGCATTCCAACCACACTCATCTCTGACCGAGACCCCAAGTTCACCAGCAAGTTCTGGAAGGAACTAATGTCTCTACTCGGAACCAAACTCCCCTTGTCATCCGCCTACCATCCGCAGACAGATGGACAGACCGAGCACCTCAACCAAATTGTAGAGCAACTCCTCTGCGCAGCATGCAAAGACGACATCTCTAAATGGACTTGCATCTGTCCATCGTGGAGTTTGCCTACAACAACGTCACTCACGCCGCTACTGGACAGACGCCGTTCTTCCTCTGCTACGGACGCCACCTGCTCACACCACAAAAACTGACAGCATCAGCTACAGTTCAACCCGCACACGAATTCATCACAACCATGCATCAGCTTTGGGATCGGACCCACAAGCGCCTCGTCGACATTCAGCAGCAACAGAAACGCCAGGTCGATCGCCACCGCACTGACCACACCATCATCGTGGGAGACCAAGTTCTACTTGACACCCGCAATATCAATATCAGTCATCTCCCATTCAAACTGCGACCTCGCTTCTGTGGGCCCTTTCTCGTTGAAGCACACGTCACTCCTGGTACCTTCTGCTTACACCTGCTCGCTACCTAGAAGATTCACAACGCCTTCCATGTCCAACTTCTGAAGCCCTATCGAGACCCTAACACGGTCTTCACCAGACGCCAACCGCCGCCGCCGCCGCCGCCGCCGCCCGTCCTTGTCCACGATGAACCTGAGTACGAGGTCGAGTCCGTGCTCGCACACCGCCGTCGTCGGAATGGAACCGTGGAGCTTCTCATTCGTTGGAAGGGTTATGATCCTTCTGAGAACACTTGGGTTCCTGAATCCGAGATGGGTAACGCTTGTCGTCCTCTTCGCGACTACCTTGTCAAGCAGGGTGTTACTTCTACCATCCAGCTTTGAGGGGGGGAAGTGTGAAAGTACGACCCCGTTACACCAATTTCCTTTCCATCTCTCCTTTCAATTTCATTCCTCTTTTTCTCTCATCTCATTTGGTTTCCTAATTCTCCTATTCCATTATCATTTGGTTTATCCTGTTATTATGATAATATCACCGACCAGGCTCGGGATGTACTGGCGCGCTATATCTAGCGTAATCATGCCGTAGTCCATTAGAGCCAATAGCCCCGCATGGCTAAACGCAGGGTGGTTCTATTTCTAGAAGGGTCTATTCCCTTAGGATAGGATGAACCTAGTTACCTGATGTACTTAGGAAGTATAAAAGCGCCTTGTATCAATCGATAGTGCAACTTTTCTTCGACACATTTGATCCTATGATAACATCTGCGCCATGGCGGCACAGTAGCTCTGCTGGATGACCTTCTTGCTCACAGACTTAGGTGAGTGGCCTAGCTCTGCCCCGGTCCTGTACGCTGACAACAGGGCCATAATCCTCCTGTGTCAAGCGCCTCGACTAGAGGGCAAGCGGGGCCAGAGGGGCGCACGGGACCGACGGGGCGTGATCGAAGGCCGTCAAGCCGCTAACGGGCCAGTGGGGCGAGCAGGGCCAGAGGAGCGCACGGGGCCAGCGGGGCACTAACTGGCCGGCGGGGTGCTAACGGGCCGGTGGGGCGCTAACGGGCCGGCGGAGCACTAGCGGGCCGAGGGGACGAGCAGGGCTAGAGGGGCGCATGGGGCCGGCGGGGCGCGAACGGGCCGGCGGGGCGCTAACGGGCCGGCGTGGCGCTAATGGGCCAGAGGGGGCCGACGGGGCGCTAACGGGGCACTAACGTGGCGCTAAGGGGGTGCTAAGGGGCGGGCAGCTAGGACTAGGACGAGAGCGGAAGCGCGGGTGGGCGGGGAGGACCTAACCTAGCGCGTGATACCATCTCAGAGTAGAAAACTTTACTAGAATTAGGCATACATGTTGATTTTGTTCAAGTGTTTTACCCTCTAAGAGCAGGGACCTATCTAGCCTATCATAACATATACAAATATGTTTGAAAAATACATCTGATATCAATTTGAGCCAACAATGGGTTATGTATGGCCCCAATTGGCACATACCGTAATCCCCCGGATATAGGTGCAAAGGGGCTTATAAGGAAAACCTGGCAAAAGTGGCATGCGCTTGTAATCAAATAAAATTGATAAGCCGCCGTTGACCCAAATTGCAGAAATTGCCTTTCAAGTTTATTAATCTTGAAACCCCCCGATTGGTAACCCAGTTCCCCAAAGCGAGAGCAAAAACGAAAGTTGCGCAACAAAACGACGCGAAACAGTCTGTAATCTTGCGCCACCCCCGGCTGATTATGTCCCTGCCCCCGCCACACCAGGCGTTTGAGTGGTAAGAAACTTGAACTTCCCCCCATACATTTTGGGACTTTTTGGAGTGCAAACCCAGCCCAGCGCCATTACACCCTAGGCAGCGAAAACACCATGCACAGCACACGCCAGTTTTTATTAGGGCACGGTACAAATCGTTTCAAGTGAGGTACGCGACTTGAACTCGAAAAAGAAAAAAGAAAAAAAGCCTATTTGATCGCGTTGAAAATAGTCTGAACGTCTACAACCGCATCAGCTGTTTGAATTTCAGTTTGAAAACATACTCGTGATATAAGGTGTACCATGCCCTGATATGCGCAAGTCGAGTTGCTTGGCAATTCCAAGCGAGTTGCGCAACTCGGCCAGGATGCGCAACCCAGAGTCACGTGCCCTTCCTTCCCGCTGTTTCCAGTGTTCCGCGCTGTGCCGTGCGCCGCTCTGACCAGGTATTCTTCCCCCACTCCCCCCCTGCGACTTGCACGCGCCCCCGCTTTCCTTTTCCCCACCCTCGATTTCCCCCAGTCGTTGTTTGAAAACGTTTTGATTCTGTCAAAAATTGTATGCTCGTTCTGATTGGTTTTCGTAGTATGCTGTGTTCGCCCACTCTCGCCACCCTCACACCACTCCTCCACACCCGTGTCCTTTCTCCAGCTCAACTTTTTGCCTGGTTCATCTTTATTAATCTTGTACGTTTTGGGTCAACGGCTTTAACTAAGGGATTTTATGGAAAACGAATTTGAGCACATAAAAATGTAGCTCTTGACATCTATGTTCTAGTGCGTTTCTTTCCGCTGGGCGGCATTTGACAAAACATGAGGAAATGGCCGACGAAGTTTCTGCAAGCAAATCCACCGTGCGATGGATGAATTTTCTAGCTAATCTGAGCAAAGGCAGCAAGCGAACATTGTGCTTCTTGTTTGGGAGCGCTAGGGGGGTTACGACCTAGACTTCGATATGAAAAATCCGCGTTTCACCAGTTGTTTCACAAAAAAAAGATGCGCCTAGATGAAATACATTTTCAAAAATATGGGTGCATAATAATCAAATAACGGATATAGGCGCACTTGCACTCCATGTGCCCAGTGGGCCAAATAAAGGGATGCGCCTATCGTAATCCCCCATATATAACACCCGCCGAAATAGTCACTCCATGGGTGGTTAATACAAGGGGGGGCTTATGATACGGTGCATTTTTTATAGCACCCGTTTTTCTGACATTGAATTTTACATAACGCCCTTCTCGTTTTATTCGTTTTAAAACTGTATTTGTTCTTGTATAAAAAGATCCGCTCAGCTGCAAAAAGCGAGAAGGGTGAAATCGCGCGTCAACAACCACTAGCACCAGAAAACCGGGCAGAAACATCAATTCGCTGTGCGGAAATCCCTAGTAAGGTCGAGAGGATCTTGACCGCCCAAATCGAAATGGGGAATCGAATTGCGGGGAAGAAGGAATCGAATTGTGGGGGAAGGGGGAATCGAAATTGTGGGGGGAAGGGGGATTCGAAATTGTCAGGGGAACGGGAAATCGAAATTGTGGGTGAAGGGGGAATCGAAACTGCTGGGGAAAGGGGAACTGAAACCGTTGGGCCAGGGGGTTACCAGCGTGCTACAATGTCGCACATTTTGACGAGAAAAGTGTTTGGGTGCGATTCCGCGAAGTGCGACTGAGATTCGGCTTCCCGAGATTCAGGGGCATGTTTTAAAATCTCAGCTGTCTTCAGGACCTCGGTGTCACCACTACGTTCCCGGGTCAGGAGCGGTACGCTGTCTGTGCCGAGGCAGCCTCAGGTTCCCCCCTTGCGACGTTCCCCCGCGACCTGGTGTCTGGCCTCTTAACGCATGACACTGCTTCCCCCACGGGTGGACCGTACCTCCCGGGTTCTGCGTCTACCCAGGTCGACGCTGCGTGCTCGTGTCGGTCGCTCACTCACCTGTCGCTTCTGTGGCACCACCGCCTAGGTCACCTCGCACTCCCGCGTCTGCGTCACATGTCCCAGCGTGGTCTTGTCCTAGGTCTCCATGCGTCGCTTCCTGCCCTCCCTTCCTCGCCTACGCCGCCGTGCACGCCCTGTGTTGAGGGTCGGCTGCGCCGTGCGTCCTGCCACCGCACCCCTTCAGACCCTGCATCTGGACGTCTCGGGCCCAGCCCCCATCCCCGGACCGCGTCGCGAGCGCTACTTTCTAGTGCTTGTCGACGACTACACGCGCTACACTACGGTGTTTCCCTTGGAGTGGAAGGCCGACGTGCCTGACGTTCTCATCCTGTGGGCCGTGGCTACCCGCCTTTACCGCGGTCTCCCTGTGTTGTGTCTCCACTCCGACTGTGGCGGCGAGTTCACCTCTGGTCGGCTTGGACAGTTCTATCGTGCGGAGGGCATCACCCAGTCGTACTCCCAACCGGACTCCCCGCAGCAGAATGGGGTCACTGAGCGACGCAGTCTGGGGGGAGGGTTGGAAAGGGTTGGTGATGCGCAAGTGCATTGTGGATTGAGGGGCCTTAGTATGACATGTTCGGGCAAACAGGGACACAGGGAGGAGGTGGCAGGCATTCTATCACTAAGGGAAGGAAACAGGGGTACAAGGCGGAGGTGTGCATTGTGGTTTGAGGAGCCTTAGAATGACACGTTTCACGCCGCCGCCAACGAGGTGACTTTTGAGTCGACTCAAACCCTCTCCATTCCGTCAAGTAAGTTGCATGATGTCGCCAGCGCCTGGTCAGCAAAGGACGCAAGGAAGTTGACACGGATGCGAAGCACAGCGGGCTAGCTCTCCTAAATATCTGCCAACTTAGAGAAGTACACCTGCACAACGGGCTGGCTCTTCTATGTATCTGCCAGCTTACCCAGATACGCGAGCTTGTTATCATAGGTGAGCAGGAAGTTTCCAGGATGCGGGTCCGCGTGGTAGAAGCCGTAGTCCAGCAGCTGAGACAGCGACCTGAACACGCCCACTTGAGGGGTTAGAGGGAGGTGAGAGGGCCATGAGGGGGGAAGAGGCAAAGGATGATAATGAGATAGCGAGCACTACACGCCCACCTGGAGGGGTGAGAGGGGGAAGGAGGGACAAGT